CCAGGCCTCTGTTTCTCCACGGACTCCAGTTGTCTGCAGGAACGGCGCTCAGTCTGAGCTCGCCGGTCGCTGGCGTTTTCTGCAGATCACGAGCGCCCTCTGGTGTCTACCTGGGGTCACGGCGCCCAAGGGGAGGACGCAATGGGTCACCAGGCCAGGAGGCTCACAGCTCAGGGTGCATCCACCCATTTCACAGACCGCGCAGGGGAGGCTTCCAGGGGGAAGTCATCATGGCTATGTCTGCACCAGGTATGCCATCTGGTCCTGCTGGGGCTCTCCCTACCCAGCCCCTTGGTCACTCCACTCACTAGTAGGCTGTGCGCAGGCTCCAGATGTGGCTTGAACCCAGGTGGACCTTGGGGACACAGGCCTGACCACTTTTTCCTGGACCTTGCATTTGTCCCTTGAAGACCTCAGTGAAGAGGAGGAGGGTCCCAGGGGCCTGTCTCAGTTCTGCTCCCAACGCAGATACAAAGAAAGCTCTGGGGCCCAGCATGAAGCTCCCCTCTGGGATTTAGCTTCTCACTTGGCAAGTAGGGAGCACACTCCCTCCCGGCACCCTGCGTGGACTGAGTTTAGAGAGTTGCCGTGTGCCTTGTCATGACGATGGTTACCTTTGACCTCCACCAGGAGTTGTGGAGGTGCCAGGCCACCCCCAGGGATAGCAAGCCAGGCAGTTCATTAGCACAAAGGGGGACACCATCCTCGATGTGGCGATAAGGCCGGATGAATGTCGGCCTCAGCCCACAATGGGCCGGATGCCCCACACCTGCCACAAAGGAGGGGGTGGCTCCTGCCTCACGTCTGACCGGCAGCCTCGAGATAGCATCAGCCCTGCAGGAGGGCCATCTGTCTTGTCCCACAAAGGCCTGGACAAAGGCTGTGTCAACGGCAGGCTCCCCGACCCGGTCAGTGGTGGTAAGCAGTGGTCAGTGGGGCTGGGGCCTTCCTGTGCCAGGCCTGAGGCTCTCCATCCAGGTCCTAGTTGGGATCCAAATAATAGTCTTCATTATTCCCAGGGCCAGCTGGGTGGGAGCCACACAGAGGGTGGCAGATGGACCCTGTGCCCGGCACCTCCAGGAGCCCTAAGAGTGAGGAAGGTGCCAGTCCCTCCTTTGGGCACCTGTGCTCTTGTTAGCAGCTGGTGCCAACCTGGGCACCCAAGGAGGAACTGGAGGACCGGGTGCTCAGCTCCAGGGTTGGGACCAGGGACTAAAGGGTTCTGAGGAGTGCTTGCTGTCTGGGCTGGTCTGAGATGAATAGGAAGCAGTGGTGAAGAGGGCACCGTGCCCTGGTCAGAAGGAACAGTGTGTACAAAGGCCTAGCTAGAGGCAAGGCCAGTAGATCACAGCCTGGAAGCTGGGAAGGTAGCAAGCATTGGCCATGGGTGGCGGCAACTCCGGGCTGGCAGAAGGGATTAGAGGGCTGGTTCTGCTGCTGTAGGATGAGGAGGTGGGACAGGAGGAAGATTTGTGGGGGTCTGGAGGGGCAGAGGTGGTCAGGGGTGACTCCAGAGACCCACTGAGTCTTGAGTCTTATTACCTCTCCAGGGCCCTGTACAACACCGTACCCCATGGCTCCATCACCTAGAGGCTGACTTCTCGCTCAGATGGCCCAGGGAGTCCTGGCAGGACCAGAGGCCCACAACCATCCTCACCATGTGGTCACCAGCCCAACCTGCCCTGACGATGCTGACCACTGTCATGCAGAATGGTTCCTGCATCCAGACAGCTCAGCCCATGAGCTGTTCTCAGTGTCTCATGGCCCAGCATTGCCCACAAGACCCCTAAGCTAGGCATCAACAGATGAAGAGTCACACCACTATGACTGTCCCCACAGCCTCCTCAGTGCCCAGTGTCCTCTCGGTCCCCACAGCACCCTTATGGTCCCCGGGGTGTCCTCACTGTCCAGTGTCCCCTCACTGTCCCCCCAACGTCCTCACTGGTCAGGGTCCTCACGGTCCCAGAGCTCCTAGTGGCCCACAGTCCACACCATCCTCAATGCCCGCTGTCCTCACTGTCCCTAGGGCATTCTCAATGTCCCCACAGCGGCCTCACTGCCCAATGTCCTCACTGTCTCCACAGCAACCTCATTTTCATCACGACATCCCCACTGTCTCCACAGGGTCATAGTGGTCCCCATAGCATCCTCACTGCCCAGGGTCTTCACAGCATTCTCACTGTCCTCAAAGTGTTCTCACTGCCCAGTGTCCCCTCACTGTCCCCACTGCATCTTCACTGTTCCCATAACATCCTTACTGTCCCCATAGCGTCCTCACTGTACCACAACGTCCTCACTGTCCCCACAGCATCATTGCTTTTCTCACAGCATCCTCGCTGCCCATTGCCCTCACTGTCCCCAAACATCCTCCCTGCTCAATGTTCTCACTGTCTCCACAGTGTCCTCACGGTCCCCCCGGGGTCCTAACTGCCCAGCATCCTCACTGTCCAGTGTCTCCCTGCCCCCAGAATGTCCTCACTGTCCCCAGTGTCCTTACTATCCCTCAGTATCCACACTGTCCAGTGTCTCACTGTCCCCAGAGTGTCCTCACTGTCCCCGGTGTCCTCACTGTCTCCCAGTGTCCTTGCTATCCAATGTCTCGCTGCCCCCAGTGTCCTATTTCCAGAGTGTCCTCACTGTCCACAGCGTCCTCACTGTCCCTGAGAGTCTCGCTGTCCCCCGAAGTCCCCACAGCATCTCACTGTCCACACAGCATCCTCACTGCCCTCAGTGTCCTCGCTGCCCGCAGTGTCCTCGGCGTGTCCCCTGCCTTCCCGTGTGACCACTCTTGGAGTGTCTGGCAGGGAAGGGCCCCCACGCCTGTCTGCTCCAAGGCCAGTGTGCTGTGCCTGAAGGCGCCTCGTGTGCCCTTGACCCCTCTCTTAGCCGTTCCAGGGAATTTCCAGGTCATGGTGCAGAGACTGGCCAGATCGGAAAGGTTTATTCAGCACGGAATTCGGAGGGGCTAATCCGCAGGGTCCGCTGCACTGTGCCCCCGGCCTCCCTGAGCCTGGAGACCGCGGTCGGCTTGCTCGGGGCAGGGCGAGGGCAGCTCCGTCGACGTGGCTCCGGGTCTGCGGGGCCGGCCGGGGCGTCTGGGAGTCTGGGCCACGGCGGAGGCCGAGGCCTGTCCAGGT